TATTCAAAAAATTCAAAATCATGAAATTTTTTATCAAATATTATTCAATAAAAACTTATTTTATTTTAATATCATTCTTAAAAGACTTATACCCAAATTTCTAATTCAAACAATTCAAAACCTTAGCATTTCTTACAAATTAGTATTACAAACAATTATTAAAATACTACTTGAAATTAATGAGCTATGCTATAAACTACTTTGAAAATCATATTACATAAACTTTTTAAATTGGAAAAAACAACAAGATCTTAAACCTCCTTTTTTCAAATACTTAACTTAAACTAATTATAATAGACAAACTAAATACAACTGCCAAACATATACATATTTATGTATATATGGACTATCTGACCAAGTATACTCAAACTCCAATACATGCCTACCTTTTGGTCATGCTATTAAAAAAATTAATATATAGACTATTCTCTGGATTAAATACAATATTTCATTTAACTATATTTTAACTATCTAAATCTAGGTAAGTCTTAATCACTCTAGTAGATTTAGATTACAGATAAATATATTTAAACTTTATGCTTAAATGTAGTTTTTTTCTTATTGATATTTAAGTTAATTATATATAGTTAGCAGTTTAATAATTAGTCCTAACTGCAAATATTAGCATTGGCTATAGCATTTATATAGAATTATTTTTGTACATAGTAACTTTATGAAGTTACTAACTTTAAAAACTACCAATAAAGATATAAGCAAGGCCTCACCTTAATATCAAAAAAAAATATTATATTTAGATTTTTGATTCTTTTTATATTTGTATTTTTTATAATAAGCTTTTATATATGCATTTACTGCATCTGTTGATGAACAATTTGAATATATATATTTATTTTTGTTTAACTTAAATTGTATTTTATACTAAGCGTTCTCATTAAAATAATTAATAAAACAAGTAATTATTATTTTTTTTATAGGTTGTTTTCATTATATAATTATCAGGAACCAGATATTGATTTGATATTTTAATGTAAACAAGATAAGATTTAGGTAAAAAACATCTTCTTTGACAATATAATATTAAAAACTTCTTCATAATGACTTCTATTTAATAGTATGATCCATTGAATAATTTGAATTTTCTTTACCAATTTCTTTTATTATTATTATTTTATAATGATAGTTTCAAGTTATTTGTTACTATTATATGTATTTATTTTATTATATAAGATATACAATTCAAATTTGAATATATAAATTTGATTTATGTTTAATTAATTTGATTTATAATTTATACAGTACATATATATGATGTTAATTCAATTGACTCCTTATTAGAAATCAAAATTTTCAAATTTTAGGGTAGATTACAAATATATCATGATGATTACTAATTATTATATACAGTTGTATTTCTCTATAATCACTTAGCTTGTTCTGTACAAAAATATGAGATTATAAAAATTCTATTATTATATACTCATATAAAAGTATTCTTTATATTTATTAATGAATTTTAAAATTTTAAATTAATTATATAGAATTTGTGATATATAGATAATTATAAAGAAGTATGTCTGTATTAAATTTTGTGTAATTGATAGCTTTTAATGAACTTGTTAGAGATAGTAAATACTTCTGTTCTATTTTATTTAATATAAATTGACTAATCAAAACTTGCATCTATTATTAAATACAAGTTTTAATATTGAAATAAAATAAAATAGAAGCATTTATCATTTTTAATGCTAATTTTGATTATAGCAGAAACAGTGTCTGATCCAAAGTGAATCTTACTTACCTGTGATCAATTACAAATTAAAAAGGCACTCTATATAAAGTACCAGTTATCTAATTTATCTGAGTATTGTTATGCTTCTGTTTTTAGTATAATTTATTTGTTTTTTATAGTACCTTCTGAAACTGTAAAGTTTTTTGATATTTGAAGTGCAGGTAAATTGTTGCAGTATTAATTAGAATTTGACTCATACTTTGCAGTAATCTAATCATTTTGTTAAAGTAATTTAGAATATTTATATAGTGAAAATAAAGTATTTTAAAGTATTTATATAGTTTAAGTCAAAAAATGATAAGTTACTACTCTACAATCAGCATTCATATAATATTAGAATAGTAAAGGTATAGTGAATTTGAGAAACAATTTTGAGATTCAGTTATTCTATAATGCATTAAAACTATTTAATTATATATTTTATAATATATTAAAACAAAAGGTTCAAATATTTGCTATTAGCATAAAATGAATTCAATTTGTCTAAAACAACTAGTCAAATTAATATATTTATTTTAATAATAGTTTACTAAAGTTACTTGTAATATGTAGAACCTAGAATACAACTTTTTTATTCTTATTTAATAAAATAATTTAGTAAATAATAATAAATAATTTAAATATTATAAATACTAAAGCAGCTAAGTAAAGTTAAATATAAGAACTAAAAACAAGCAAATAATTTTAATATAGAAATATTTATATAGAAGCATAATAGATGACTAACTAAAAAAATATATAATACTTAAAAATTAAGGTCTTTTTTCATTTTTTTAATATTCAGTCTTTTTAATTCCAATTTTGCTTTATGCTCTTCTAATTCATGTTGTTTTTTTTGAATTGCCAGATTTTTTTCTGTTTCTTCTAAGTCTGTTTTAAAATTTTTTGTAATTTATTTTTTTTAGCAGTAAACCTAATTGCGTGTTAGTTTTTTTCTATATTAGAATATTTACATTTTCTATTTACTAAAAATTAAAATAAATTAATTATTAATAATTATAATTTATTTAAAGTATTAGTATATTAAATAATAATTACTATTTTTTTTAATAAATTTAATTGTTCTTGATACTATGCCATTATCATGGTTAGTATAAGGAACTCTGGAAATATTATGTATCTCTTGTGAATAAAAAATTTTTTGATCTTTCAAATAACCTCTAAATTATAAACAATTAAATTAATATTATACTATATTATATTATATTAATAGATAAATAATATTTATTTTTGAATTACTACTTGAAGACATAAATTTGTTTCATATTTATTTACTCATACATAACTACTTTTTGCTATATTTGTATCATGCTGAGTAGAATACCATATATTAACTAAAATTTTTAAGAAAGTTGAATTTAAAGAAGCAATAACCCAATCAGTTGAATAAATTTTGATCTATTCTAAAATTTAACTTTTTAATTAAATATAAATATATTGATAAAAAATAATTTAAAAATTTATTTTCAAGATTTTTATTATTAATTTTTTTAGAGTTTCAAATATTTTTTTAATTTGTAATTTTGTTGTAGTTGTAGAAATTTCTATTATTAATTGTTTTATATTTTTTTTTCATTTATAATTATTAATATTTCTAATTAATTAATTATTGTTATTTAATTTGATTTAAATTTTTATACTAAATAAATAATAAAAAATAATTTAATTTACCTAAAAAAATATATTTTATAACTTTTAAAAATATATAATAAATGTTCATTCTATATATACTTTGGTTCAATATTAACTAATCTAATCTCAATCCTTTTGTTTATCCTTGATCTAAATCTCCAAGTATATATTTCTATTCTTTATTGTGAATATAATCAAACATTAGAGACTCTTCAGTTAATATAAACTTATAACAATTTGATAATATGTTTCAGAAGTTGAGATATTAGTATAAACATATGCATATATAATACCTATAATTATAGTTTAAAATAATTTAATATTTAAAATAATATAATTTAAAATAATTTATATATTTATTAAAATTAAATAAATAAAGAAAATATTATATTTTAATTATAGTTTTTACAATAATTATTAATTTCAAATTCATTAATATTTCTTTATATTTTTTTAAATACTATATCAATTTGAAAATATTTAATATTTTTTCATACAATTGTTTGACTTTTGTTTATACAAATAATTATTAAACTTTCATTATTAAATGTATCTATAAATTTAATAAATAATTAAAAATATTTAATAAAATAATAAATAAAAATATATAAATACTAATTTCTTGCAAATATCTATTAAATTCTTTATTGTCATTTTAATATTTAGTTACAATTTCTAATAGTCCTTGTTCATAAAATAATTGTCTTTATTGAACTTTACTAACAAGATATTATAACTTATTCAAATTATTAAGTAAAGAATATATTTCAGTAAAAAGATTTTTACCAAAATATGTTTTTAATAAATTACTTGACATAATTTTTTTTGGTGTAATTTTTTCAAATATTTGTATAGTTTCATTAATTTTATTTTTAATTTTATTTGAATTTTAACTAAAATATTAGTTGAAGGTGATGATAAATGAATATGAATTTCCTTACAAATTAAAACAACAAATGGTATTGTTGTTATATCTAAAGGAAAAAGTTTAATAAATTAAACATTGTAATTCAATTTAATAATTTTTTTTTTTTTAATCCATCATTAGATAAATAAAAAAAAACTAATATAATACTATTAAAAAAATTAATAATAAATAAATATAATAAATTTAAAAAATATTATAAATAATTATTTACATACAACATTCTTTTTTACAAAAACTTGTAGATAATACTGTATACCAATTTTTTACCACTTTACTAATTGAGATAATCTAAAAATAAATTGTAATTTATTAATTAATAAAAAATAATTTAAATTAAATTAAAATTTATTTTTAACTTATAAACTTTCCTCTAAACAATTTTTCTAATATTGTAACATCAATTTCATTACAATTTAATTTATAATAATAATGTTTTTGTTCTAGTAACTAAGCTGAACATTTAATAAAATATGATTGAATATTATCATTTGATTTTTTTTATAGTAACAAACTTAAGCTCTGCCTATATATATTTCATAATTATATAAACATTGAATATTTGTAAATGTCATATATTTTCTACAATAAATTAAAATAAAAAATTAATTAAATTGAATTAAAATTTAAGTTATTATTATAAAATTCTTATGCATGTGTTTTAGTTTTCTTTGAAGTTTGTAAATCAGTAGGTTAATTTAATTTATAAAAATCAATACTTTTATTTACTTCAATATGTTGAATTTCTTTTAATTTATTTGAAACAAATTCACAAACTTTGGCTTCAGTACAAATTTGAACTGATTTATTTACTTTACATTCCAAAAATTCACATTCTATAATTTTTTTACCATCACTGTCACCCATATTATATTGAATCTATATAAATTTAAAATTTAATTAAAGTAATTTAATTATAAAAAAATATAATAAATTTTAAATTTAAACTTACATCTAAAAATGC